CTTATACGTTAACCATTTGTTGTGCCCGTGAAAAAATAATGGAGTGTACCTACATAGGTATTAGTGTACTTCTGATACCACATTTAAGTTACGCAATAAAAACATTGCAATCATTATATTTCTTCAAACGTGGAGAAAGATGAATTCCAATATATTAATTAAAATAAGAATTTTTTTTCTTAACTATTTTAGGGCTTTAGAGACTTTACAGCTTTTAATGTCATTATATTCAAGTTTCAGTACAACAAATAATAATATCACGGTTGTAGACATGTATACCAATACCTGCGCAAAGATTAAATAAATCATTTAATTTTACCATGATTATAAATTATTGCCTATTTTTAAAATTTTACTCTTACCTGTCATTTATTTTCGTTATCTATATAATATTTTATAAGTAAATACAAGTAGATAGATTTATACATCTATATATTATTGTATTAATACCTAACCACGACAATTTTATAAGAAATAATAATATACAAACATATGTGTATATTTATACACTTTTAAGGTAGGTATAAATAATATATTAAGGATATTATAATTTATAATATTCTATACGTAATATCTAATATAACTAATATAAAAGGTAAAATCATAGTGAAATATGGAGCTTAAATAACTCAAAAACACTGCTCAAAGTTAATTCGTAATTTATAATAAGCAAAATCCCATTTTCAACTTTGGCATCTTTAAATTTAAATGCAGTTGGAAAACTTAGTTCTCAAAGTACATTTCATATTTGGCGAATTCACAGAACCTATAATCGGATTTCCAATCCATATCTTTGTCCTTACTCCTAAAGTTTATTATATTTTTTCACCTTAAAACTTTCCACTTTTTCTTTATTATATAGTGTATAATATAAATATAATATATATATAATAAATATAGTTGGACGATTTCACCTACAAAACGATTAAAGATCTCCAGACACCGTCCAGACGTGCAGTCCCCTTCAGTGGTGAGAAAATTGAGCCGCTTTGTTCACGTTAGGTGGAGTATGAAGACTTCATAATATAGGATACAAGAATGTTGCAATCAGTGGTAAATGGATTAAAGTCCCCGTATGCCATAGAAAATTGTTGACCCTTAAGCCATCGCACGGTGGTCTTGTGGATTCCAGTTAAAAATACCATTTTAATGTTTTTTTTTTAATAAACAGAGCTAAAATAACGTACTCTAAACGTATATGTAATTTAAGTTACAAAATTATCATAACAACTTATGTATAAGTACATATTTGCGTGATAACTGATAAGTCATAGGTATATAACATCCTAAACGGCCGCTCACGGGACAAGCAGATAAAAATATACGTGTGTAACTGTGTAAGTTACTATAAAACAAGTAAAATTATACTATATGATTCAGATTTCAGACTATGGACAAACAAATTAAGGTAGTTTTTCCGTACCTATACGTACATCTTAAGACTTGTTTGTTGTCGTGTGCTTCATTTTACGTAAAATTATAAAAACTCAATATAAAATGTATATTGACGTGTTGTCAAAGATGCATCATGATGAGTTATAGGTACTTGAAAGAATAAATTACTTAACAAGAACAATAATAGACCAGAAAAAATGAACAAAAAAGTCTTGGAAAAAATACATAAAAATAAGTCTATTATCTATATTATATAGTAATATTTACATCAATTCTATTCAAAACTTTTTAGAATTTTAACCACACAAAAACTTCCTTAGGTTGTCAATTGTGAGTCTGAATAAAGCGGGAAAGAAATTTATTTAATTTTGTACAAAAATAATATTTACAATTTTAAGGCGGCTTAGGAAAAATCATGTCTAATTTTTATGTTTATAGGAATTATTATTACAGGTCATATTATTATGTATGTCATGCTTATGGTTTTACCTGCCATATCCCGTGTAGGACGGTCGGACCGTCTCAGCGGTGTTCCTGGTACATTCTGAATTTCGTTATAATTATTTTAATTGATATTATAATAATTATTGAATGTGTAACAAAATGGTTGCTTCCATCGAGTCGAGTCAGCCACCTATATAATATTATATTATAAAACTAAATACACGTTGGGCTACCATAGGCCACTACACGAGACAGAGTTACTTTTTATACACTGCCAAACAGCGCGTCGGAACAAAATATTAAGTATATGATCTCACTCAGTCAAACTGCATATTATTATTTGAAATTATACCTAAAAATTAAAATGCATAGAGAGTGAGGGAGCAGAATCATAATATTATATACCTTCAATAATGAGTGTGCATCATCGGAATTCCGCCTTCCGGTGCAAGGGAGGTGCAACATATATATACGTGTCCAGCAGCACACGCCGTAAGTCCACGATTACCGTTAGAGAGAGACACAGAGAATGAGTGTGGGTGAGAGAGATAGATCGGTGTGCAGTATTCGAGTGGTATTATTATTCGCGGATAGTGGGTCGTGGGGTTGAGAGAGAAACTATATATTATTATATATGTTGCCGGCCGGTGGATGAGCGACCGAGTGCAGGTGGTGGGTGATGTGTGGTGGGCGGCGGGAAGGCAGTGAATGATTAATAATACTCAACCGAATAATATTATCGTTATGTTTGCTCAGCAAATTAATGCTGCGATTATTATTATTATTATTATTATTGTTAAATGTACACTTGGCGCGTTTTCGAGTCCATTTTTATGTGTACTTGGGACTAAAACGACTAAATACAAGACCCAATGTAGGTAGGTATAATAATATTATAATATATATATATATATATATAGTTTAATACACGAGTGCAGTAATAATAACGAAGGGGGACAAAAAAAAAATGAAAATCGTTGAAATCGTTTTACATATTGTTATGTATTTATTATATTATGTCTATACCATATCGACAAACTCTGTTCGCCCCTTCTCCTCCATAACATTGCCAACGGTTTTTTTTATTTATCAGTAGAACGAGTTTTCATGTAATATGGTAATATTTCTACAGCTCGTTTTAAAAAAAAAAAAATAATAAATAATAATAATAGTAATCGTATAATATCATATTTATATCGTTTTTTACCTTTGCCTGCCATACTTTTCACCCGTGCACCGACCACCACTGCTCACTTAACGGTTCGACGTCATTAAACTTTATACGTCCACCAATAAAATAAAATTATTATTACTAGGCACTCACCTCCACACAGACAGACACGTTTCCGATTATGGCTGTCTGAGTGCATTTTGATTTTGATGTTCGACGTATTGGGAATACCCGACAAAAAATAATCAAACAAGCTCACGCACACACACACACACACACACACACACACACACACACACACATTCACCCACGTATATTGTATATTTATGTATGTTCGTATATAGTTCCATTCCAATTAAAGTTAAAAATTTGCACGTCGATACCGTGAACAGTAAATGGATATTTAAATAATTCGTGTAGTATAAATTATTCCACTCGAAGTTTGATGTATAATATGGTACAGTATGCAGCGTGGCAGTGTGCTGTACCATATGCGTGTAATTTGTGTAAAAAACTGTACCCATACAACGGCAACAACTGTTCGATAATTATTATGGTACCTATGCAATTTTTTTGAATAATGTACTTAATGCACAATTCTGGATGGTGATTTTTTTTTTCAAATTGTTATTAGGTATAATCGAGTTATTATTATTTATTTATCCCGGCGAGCAAGTCCCATCTATCTGACAAATTATACAAATGTATAATAACAATTAACAACACTCATTACCTACAGCAACATGTTGAAATTCGAATTGACACAGTTGAATAGTGATAATAATAAATATCATAAGATTAAACTCGATTGGGCGTTTACGCATATACCTGTTAAACATAAAAGTTGTCCGTGTTTGTTGTCCTCGTACGCACTACGCACTAACTCTGCTCTATAATTATCTCTTGTCTCCCGATTAAACTTTTGAACACATACATAATGATTAAGTACTTGAATACTTAATGGAAATGAGCAGTTATAATTTAAAAATATATTTACATGATAATATGTATTATCTATATAAAGCAACTCTAAAATGAATATAGGTAATAGATTATTAAGAAATGCGAGTACACAACAATTTAAATTTTTAAACGTTGACTATTTAACAATTTAAGTAAACTAAAAACCAACATTATGTGATCTATAAGTCCTGACCACTCTGTGTGTTACATGTAGTAATGATTTTCAAAAATATTAATTAGAAACAAATTGATCACGAAGATACTCAACTCATGATTGTATATTATGCGTAGATTATAGGTCATATCCGATTAGCACGACAATGGTTTTATTTAAGATAATAATATATTATGCGTACAATGCATTAACATTGTTTTAAGTTAACACCAATAATTTGCAATATTATACCATCTGATCAGTTCTGGAATGTTATAGAAGTAATATTATTATTCATTTGGGCCTATTAAACGCCATATTCCTTAACAATAATATTATATTATGAAATATCTTCGAAACATTTCAAAGTAGGTTGTGAAATTGAATATTCTATTAATATTATAAAAAAATTCAACCTAAGCTTTATTAGGTAAATATAACGGATGGTCTCCTTTTTTAATTTAACATGATCAAAATTGTGTTTAAGAAAAAAATAACATACTAACGATAATATTAATAAAAACATATATTTGCTGTTCATGCAATTAAAAAAATGTACACATAAAGGTATATTATAATGTTTACGTATAAATATTTTTTATATTTAAATAATTGAATTGTTTTACTTAAATATATAATAAATGGCAGTTTCATTTCTCACCATAGTATCTTCCAACATTCTTTTTCCAACACTCCATTTATTTTTGCTCTTCTTGTCCGTTAAAAAAAAGTTTTCTTCAAAATAATACTCAACGCTTACATACATAGCACCTCTAATCGTATATCGTAAGTAACTTAATAATATTATGTACATTAACATATTTAACAAAACATACAAACAAATAATAAATAGTAAAATAAGGAAAGTCCATTTTAGATAAACTGGTTGAGAGTTTTTTGGAAGTCCTGTAAACACGCTAATACTTGAGCAGACGATGGTCGTTCCTCTGGGCTGGGCAGCCAACAGAACGTCATCATCCCAAACCTGTAATGATATAATATATAACTACCAACAATACTACTGTTACCAATAATAATAATAATAATAATAACAATAATAGTAATAATAATAATAATAATAATTGGTTCACAATTGAAACCCTAGATTATCTGTTTTTGTTTTAGGCCATCCGATTACTTTAGGGTTGGTATCCCGCTCCCATTGGATAGCTCGTTAAGACCGAAACTCCCGTTAGAGTTAAGTGAATAAAAAAAATAATAACCCCTTTGTGGAAACCCTTTGGTGGGGTAGTGTCCAGGTTAATGTAGTTTAATGGCATGTTTTTTGCTCCACGAGTACTCACAGGTCGTCCGGGCAGTTGATTGGTTGCGATAGCCTGTATCCCTCCTGTAGGTAAAGGCTTAGATCGTACGGATCAATTTCTGAGTAGGGCTGAGCACCTAAGCACACCAATTCCCAGAGCAAAACACCAAACGACCACTAAAATAAACATATTTAGCAGTTATAGTTTAATTTGCATTAGTTATAATTAATTTTTTTTTATCACTAGTAGATTGTAAGTGTATTATACACTCCATTAACAAGACACTCTTTAAAAATTAACGTAATTAATTATACTTATATCAAAAATTAAAACATATAAAAATAACAGTTAAAATAATAATACACTGCAATCGTCTAATGTACTCGTATTGACTATTATTTTTTATTCTATATTAACTGCTGTATGTTTTAAACTTAATTCATATTGACGGTACCTATAATTAAAATAAATAATTTAATATGTCAAATCAACACGCTAAATTGAAGGCCGAGATAGTAATGAAACTAAATTAACAATATAATAATTGTAATGAAAACAAAAACAATATACCTAAATAGTAAATACACAATTAAACTAGGTACCTACCTACTAAATCAGTTGCAGAAAAATCTATTCAAAATGAAATATTATATTATGTATCACGCCTACGATATTGTCTTCGCTGATTTAAAAGGCACTGATAAGTCAATTTACATAAAAAATAGACGGTTCGTTTAACGCTTGTTGTTAAATTAAACAGAAAATTGCTAAAATAATATTTTCCCCCCTATATTTTTAATTTCAACAGTCTTGATTTTTTGTCTTATGTAATCACAAATCAATCAGCTCAACTCATTAAAAATATTGAAAACCATGTATTTTATTTTTTTTTTTTAAGGTTTTTTATTAATTAAAGTTTTACTGACGTGAGTCATCCTAACTTATTGTTATTGAGTTACATTTTTTATAAAAACCATGTAATATTAACATAAGTTTCAATTCGAATGACATTAAAATTAATAAACGTTTTACCATTGTAAAATAACCATTTAATAAATGTATTTCAATGATTATAAATTATAATATTATATAGTAGGTTCCATATTATAATAATTATGTAGATAGAACAACAAATATTTTTAAAATGTTGGTAATTTATAAAATATGTTTTAAATTAAAAAAATATAAGTATTATGATTTTTAATTTTTTAAAATTGAACTATAATTTTTTTTTACAAAAGCAACATGGTTGATAGTTTTATTTTTAGACGCATTGCATGTCACACGGCTTTAATTTTTGAAAGGTCAAGTAGCAAAAGTTATAAGTTTATAAAGTAGAATATTATACAAATATTTTTTAGATTAATTATATAGACACTATTTTTAATTTAAAAGAATATTATAAAGTATTAGGTAGTAAAAGAAAAGAAACTTTTTTATTATTTTATGATAATATCATGAAAATCGGAATAGGTATTTATTAATTATACCTTTAATATAAAAATGTAAATAATCAGGTAGTTAGTTTTAGACATAAATGTCCATACTAATAATAGATAAATATAAATAAATAAATGTAGGTATGTATATTGTATAGGTAAGAAATATTTATTGATTTAGATTTTCTTTTTCAAGAGAATTCTAATAATTAAAATTAAATTCTAGGCAAAACCACAAAAAAATAAAATTACCTATAGCTTATAATGCTCACAAGTATTACAATCCTATTTATTCCTATACAGAATTTAGTCTTTGAAATAAATTAGAACATTCGTAATGATAGTAGTTACACGGCAAACGTATTTCCTAATCTTATCGTACGCATTAATAAGTAATATTAATTAATAAACTAGACATTAATGCATTATAATTAATTGTTTTTATAGCGCTTTATTTTTTCTTAGTATAATTTTTCAAAATCTGTTGTCCCGAAATAATATTATAACATTGACCAAGTGCAAACTAACAGCATACAATAAAATTATGAAATCTTTTAATTGTTTAGGCTGACAGGTGATTTCGGATAAAAAAAAAATGTTTATTTCTAACTGTTATTAATAAATTATTGTTATAATAAACACAGCACAACTTACTATGTCCGAGGCACCGTTATAGGTGCGTAAAGTGATACTTTCAAGTGCCATCCATTTGATGGGTCGGTTTTCGTTGTCATTTAGACATGAATAATCATCGGGAAACAGGTCTCTAGACAATCCGCTATCGGTTAATTTGACTCGCAACTTTTCGTCCACGCTAAATACATACACACATAATGTTATTAGAATACATAATATTATAATTTACATGGCGGCCGACGTTATAGACTTAAAAGAACTTAAAGGAATTATGGACACACGATTACATAGTGATAGGGGAAACTTTTGAGATAACTTCTGAGTAACTCGTTTAGCACGCACCTGCTAAACCCCTTTAACTATATTTGAAAAGAACTAATGGATTTGTTACGAAGAAAATTTAAACTCCTTTTAGACGATATTATTTTTAATATTCAATATTATAATGCAGAATATTAAAATTATAATTATTTACATATTATAAAAGAACGTGTTTTATTATATTTCCTTAAACTAAAATTGAAATAGTTTGATGAGTATGATATTACTATTATGTTATTAAATTGTTTAAAATAATTTCCGGTGGTAATAATAATATTTTATAATACCGTCTCCATAGAATTTCAAAGTATGATAATCACCCTCTTTAGAACTTATTGCATTCTTGATCTAGTGTTAAGAGCGAGACTCGCGTATTTAAATCAATATACAGCAACCCTTCAGCTTTCTAAAGGGAATATTAAATGTATGTAATATTTTCCCTTCAGTATATATATTTTTGTTGGATTATTACATTTTATATCCAAGGTATAAGATGTAAAAGTTAATGATAAATTTATTTATTTTCATCATTAACCGTGAAATAATAAAACAAAACATTATTCAATATTTTAACAACATTGAAATTCAAATTTGAATAAGTATTTTCTTAAACTATATCTCAATATACTATTACAATTAAATATTCAATAAAACATCAAAATACTTAATAGAATTTAGCTTGAGCACATTCAACTAAAATGTTATGCCCTTGATTGTTGAAAATATAGTTATTTTTCCATTGAACTTTAACGTCGTTTTGATTAGTCTCAATTTTTAAAATGGTTCTTTTTTTATGTATTTTGCTGTCATATTTTAATTGAAAAATAAATTGCATTTTTCTTCATCAAAATATAAAATACTAGAATATTATGGGAAAATGTCTTTTTTACGTCACAAAATAATGTTAATACAAAGGTCATTGTGGAGATTATTTATTTAGGTACTTAGTAATATGTTATTAAATATAAAATAAATGTTATGTCTGTACCTGAAATAGAATCAACGGGGGATAAACATGTATAAAGGAATGAAACATTTGAAAAAAGTTCTTCTAACTTATAGTCGTATAATACTTTTGGATTGTCAAGAACAGACAATTTTAAGGGGACATAAAATTAATAGTTGTGTTACTAATATTGTCACACGTCGTATGAACCTAGCAACATTAAGTTCACGCGGAAATATTATATTTTACCTATTATCGTTATTATTATACAATTTAATAGTTAAAAATTATCATTTAAATAATTAAATGTAGAAATATAGACACCTAATGTTATTATCCGTGCATATAACATTTAAATACCTATATTAATTGTCAATATTCTTTATTTTTGATGCTGTATCCGGCTTGCTTACTAAATATTTCATTACGTTCTATGTGCATATATTTTTAAATGCTAACTCCTTTATTTACACTTCAATTGGAAGTCTGAATTTTATATAAGATGGGGCTGGTTAATAATTGAAGGCCAAAGGTATTTACCGACTTAAATCTAATATTATATGTTGTATTCATTATGTTGTAGGTATACATACACACAATTCCTGGCAGCTATGTCCTTGTGACAGATGCCTTGGCTGTGAAGAAACACACTTCCCAAGCAGAGCTGTACGGCCATGTTAACAATGTCTTGTGTGGTCAAGTTGTAGTAGTCGTTATTTTTCCGTTTGCAATCGCACAGAAACCTGCGATACACGTATTGTTTTATAAATGGCCCCAGCGCAAACATAATCGCATTAATGTAAATAAAATATGACTGTTTACTTTTTAAGATTTCCTTTGTTGCTGAACGGATATAATACCGCCGTTGGTTTGTTTGAGTACTGACACACGGCCATTGGTTGTAATATGTTTACGTGGCCCGGGAAACCATGCAACATCAGACTTTCAGTCAGAAACATTTTGTTTTGTTGAGACGCAGCATCAGCTATGGAACAAAATTAAATAAATATTGTACGTTAAGGCTTAGGAATATAATCGTAAAATAATAATTAAGCTTTTCGATAGTGGTATTTGGGTATTTAGATAATATAATATGTAATAATATGTAATATCATAAATATTAGAATGCAATATTTTATACGATAGTGTCTTAAGATTATTATCATTCAGTCATTCCGAACAAGTTAAATATTTAGAATATTTTATTTGAAGACATATAAAAAATATTTTTATTCGAAAGAAAACTTTAAATAAATATTTCTATATAGTTGCACGAGAACACTGAAAAGTCATTTCAAATGTAAACATTTTGGTGCACTTATATATTTTTAAATCATCCATTTTCCAGGCCCAACAGACTGCAGAATAAATTTAAATCATGCTTGACAATAAATTCCACCGGGAATTATTTTGAGGGGGGCCCATATTATGTTATTATCATATATATATTATTTTTTTTCATTAGCCCCTCCTCCTACCCTCTTTTCATGTAACTTCCACGTCCCCTCAATCCAACCGTTCAAAGTAGCCCTTTTTACCGAACGTATTAATCGACGGCGACGACTGAACTGGAAAACGTATGCGAATCACCCCCTTTCAACAAGAAAAAAAATAAAATGAAATAAGGTGTACAAAACGAGCAAGGGTCAAGATCAAGGGTTCAACGTTAGGAATTCCAAATGTTTTTTAACATGCAATAGATCGTGATGAAAATATATCGCGCCCACAAATTTTCCCGTGGCATAGGTACTTATGTAACATACCAAGTACCGAGTTATGCTTTGTTCTAATTGGTTTTATTAAAAAAAAACACGAGCTACATAACATAACAGGATCACATTATTCTAGCTTTTAGAGCGGTATTTTTTTCATGAATACATGTAATATAAATAAGTGCTGTACATTTGAAAATTCGAAAAGCTTACCTACTTATAATAATCGTCTAGCTCTCAGTTACTTTTTCAGGTTAACAAACAAACCGTAGTTAATTTTTTAGTTTTTATCATAATCACAGAACAGTGACGATGATAATTAAAGTTAAATATACCTGTTACAGTAATTTTACAATACCTATTGTAGATTACTATTTATTATAACCGTAATGTTATAGGTACTAAAATTGTATAATGCTTATTAGAATAATAGATTTGTAATCAAACCTGATAAATAAAAAAAAACATTGGTAATATACGACTAATAAAAAAATTTGTTTTCATAAAAAATTAATTTTGAACAAAAACACAAGTTCACCAGCGCTATTTGTTATTGGATATTCATTGTTGTGCTATCATATTATCCGTAAACTACAGTCGTACCACAATCAGGTTTTTTACTGAACAATAATAATACATTTTATTTTATCCTGCAGCAATGTATTATAACGATTTGAGAAATATTTACGATTTGTAGACGTGTTCGTGTGGAGCGATATCAATCAACAGTAAGCGCATCCAGATATAATATTAATAATAACTAATCAGGTTGATTATATATTCTAGGATAAGTGCATTTTGTACCTGCAGGTCGACATGAAATGTATTAAAACGAGCAAGAGAATAAAGATGATAATAGTGACCGGAACAGATCCGTCAGATAGTATAATATTATATTATAATATTATATGTTCCCATACTCGACCTATATGGAAAACCCGATAATACCGTAATACGTAATCGTGTTGTCTACGACAATGCGATGGCATAGTACCTTACGCACACATAATATATAATATTTATATGACGACGTAATACATATATTCCACGATGTTTAACCCCTAGTCCGCCACAAGCGGGACGCAGTGCAAACATTTTCCCTGGATCCGAGCAAACACGTGGCCTCCAGGTAATGTTTTTTTTATTTTTATATCTCGTTAGGGTTTAAGTGCTGACCGGAGGGCAAATTGAATGTACGCGAGTGAATCGAAATCTCTCGGTCGTCTCCGGCAGAGACCTTTAGACTTCTGCCGCCGCACACACAAGAGGGGAATTATGACGCTTTTATTTTTCATTCTATTTTATTTTTTTTATCCCATTTATACTTTTTTTGCTCACATCTACCAGCCGTTCGGCGGTACACTGCCCGGTCACATCTTAAGTAGCGGATATTACCGTCGAGAAGAGGGTTCGTGCTGGATGAGATGCAGAGACGACCCAGCGTGAGGAGCGGAGATTGAAAATCCGATTTATCTCCAACGAAATGATTTTTGTGGACGACAAAAGTTATCTTTTCACAGACGAACGTGAATTGTTGCCCGGGGGACTGTAAGTTGATCAAACATAAATTGATCTTGTTCGGCTGATTTATTTATTTTTTCTCGTTAAAGGCAAAAAGTAGACAATGTCGATACAATAATAATAATATACTCGTATATTGTATGACACGAAACAAAAGCAATCGTTAATAATTCGTCACGGCCCGATGGGTTTTCGAAAGGGTCGATGTCGATCGGTATTGAAAGGTCCACCACCAACTGTATATTCGAACGACTGTATTAATTGTTTAACATTTCACCTTGCGATCGAAACTTTAATTTCCTACTCCCAGATAATCTGGTGCTTCGTGCTTATACGCATTAATTATCAAAAAACAAACGCAAATAAACTTAATACTATAGGTTAGCATATATTACAGCATTTTCAGTTTTAAAAATTAATGAGGTTTATGCCATAACGTTATGTAATATATACATACATATTGTTAAAACCATTCAATCTGATTTAATTGTATTTTTTTAATAAAGTTAAAAACGGTTAAATTGTATAATAATATATACAATCACTGTTGCAGCTATATAATATATGCTGAGATTGAAACAACGCACAAACTGCTTTGCGGCCAACTTATATTTATGTAAATTTTATTAATAATAATAATTAATATTTAACATTAAAATACCTATACAAAATAATACGTGGTGGACGGACGGTGATTCAATTTCCACAATATACCTATAAAATAGCGGTCGCTTGGTGACCAAAAGTAATACAACGTAAAAGCACAACCACGATAATCCAGGTATAAGATTATCGCCTTTTATAATATTAATATGTCGATTTCATTTTTGTTTACACCTAAATATAATCTAGCGTGTATGTACACTGAACAGAAATTATTATTATTGAAAATATTATCATTGTTAACGAACGAACAAAATTCATATAATATATTAATATATTCATAGAATTAAGTTATTTTTGTTATCTACCCAACTTAAAAATTATTCATATTGTGATTGTTTATTTAGTTCATAAGATAATGCAATATTATAATAAATATTTATACAAGTAAATTGATTTTAATGGATTGTATTAAAAGAATAAAATAGCACACGTTAAACTAATGTAAATATAACAGACAATTCAATTTAGCACACCATGTTTTGACACGCCGTGACCGTTTAGTGTTTGCATTAATTTGTTTTTATTTTAAACATATTAACATTGAATATATTTTCATAATACGTCATGCACTCTTTAAAATTGAAAACTATTAATGGTTATTTTAAATACTTATAATTTGTATCACATTATAATATAATACATAGCCCCATAGGTAGGTAAATATAGTTTGCATCACTGTTGATGAAATTCTAAATTGAAAAAATATTTAATGTAAATGACACTAAAATATATTAAAGCCGATGTTGTATTATCAGCATATATTTATAATAAATGTTATAAAGATTTTTCATCTACCTAATTAAGATTATGTTATCTTTCTTTTTTGTAAATTACAATTACTGTTCTAGATAAACTGAAACTGCATTACGTTATTTTTATATTTTGTTCTGAATGTATATATAATCTAAATATGTTAGCCATTCATAAATAATAATTTATCATTCAAAAACTTAAATGAACATAGCAACAATCCTCAGCAGGCTTAAATTGGCAAAAGTTCACAGATTACAAAACACAGCCATTGTATAAAATCAACATAGGATTTTAATTGTAAATAACTTTAAAAAAACCTTTTAACTCAAACCTTTTTTTTTTATATATAACATAGTGGTTTCGGAACGTAGGTAGTTAGTTTTAAATTTTTCATATCCATCAGTTGTACACATTCAAATCAAAATTAATTGCATTACGGGGTCAGTTTTAAAGTGGAAAATATACTACCTATATACATTGATGTCATTTTTTCAGAAATAATTTTATAGACATTTTTATTCACTTTTTTATGAAGTTCGCCGTCAATGGTACTATAGTAACGTATAGTAATACTATAAAGTAGGTATTTAACATTTTTGACGAAATTAATTAGTAATTAATAATTACTAATTACTCAAATATTTAACTAGGCATTTTAGTTCGTAGGTATATTTATCGTACACAATTCATATACAAATACATATTATATACAACTATATAATAATCTTGAATGTATCTTTACATCTCGTAACACAAAACATTGTACTAATTTGTAAAACTTTTTTCTTAATTAATATTAATATTATATCTTGTGAGTTATCTACCTACTTATTAATACTAAGAGCAGCTTAATTCTATCGTATAACTTGTAATTTAATGGTTCACCACGTCAAGTTGTATAAGTGTTTCATCGGTAATTTCGATTTTCCATTTGATTAAACCTTGATTGTAGCTCCTTATTGTTTATTAAAACCGTTATAACTTTTTTAATTTTTAAGATAGAGACTTCAATAAATCGGTGTTCATATTAAAGCTTATTAAAAGAGCTTTAAATGATGTATATGACTATTTCGATCACGAGATTTTATTTATTATTTTGATGTTTATACAGACACGTATATTCAATAAAATATACCAATATGTAGCGAAAATTAAATAAAAACGACCATACATAATTTAAACCTTTTTTAATAAGCTTTAAATAATCCTCAATTGAAGTTTATATCCAAAAAATTAAAAAAAGTTTTAATAACGGTTTTAATAAACAATCAGCTGCAATTATGTGTGAATAAAATGGAACATCAAAATTGACGATGAGCCATTACAAAAAAAAAAAAATTCAGATAGTATGTGCTTTATAATATTATCATAACCTACTTTACACACACACAAAAAAAAAATGCTAAAAACTTATTAATTTACGTGTAGATAATAAACACGTCGTGTATATAACTCACTCGTAACGGTCTTGACGAGCACTTCCTTCGATCCACCACCGTTTTGCTTGTACGTGCCTTGATACACCCTGCCAAAAGCACCCTCCTGGAGGAGTCTTTCAAACTTGACGGTAGCGCCGGGTGAGTCCAGCTGGCGTATACGCTCGTCCAAGTCATCACACATTCTCCGATCGTTAACGGCCATCTAATTCCGGTAAACAACGTACATAATAATATAATATCATAATATAATATATTGCGCCACACCATCACATCACTCTCCCGTCCGGCAATTGGGCATATTAGCGCCGAATAATTTATCACCGGACGGATGTAGGTATATTATACATCGTATTATGGTTGATGGGGACGTTATATGCAGAGTGTGTATACACGGGTAGTCCGAATTCCCGGTGCGAAAATCATTAGAGGACCGACCGCACGTGCATTAGCAATACACATTTTATGAATTAGTCATAAATGAGAGTTGATTTTAGTTCCGTAACTATTTTATTTTTTTTGTCCTCCGATCGCTCATTATTATACTATATACGAACAGTGTAATATTATTATGACGAATGAAAGGTATTTGACGGCGTATTGAAATAACGACGGCGGTTTTCTCTTTTTCTCGTTCAAACTGTCAGTGGATGAAAAAAAAAATGATTGATCGAATGCGCGCGCGGAAGGTCCTTTAACCCGAAATCTTTAATGGCTTTAATAAACACGACGACTACGACTTTTGCCCACGTCACGACGTCGTTTTGGCAGAGTTCCACTCAAAGTTCCGTCGAAACGGGACAAAAAATATAGGTAATAAACATAAATAAATAAATATAAAGAAAAAAAATGTGCCAGGACATTGATTCAAGACATTATCTATACCGGGAGGGTATTCGTGTTTCTAATCCTGTTAAATGGCTTGGTGCCCATTTGCAGGGTGGTAATCGATTATGGCCGCAACCGCGAGGATGATTTATCTGCCGTAATGGGTCTAAATCACGCGAAACGATTTTGCGTAATGATCGTGTCACCCAGGGGGAAAGTGTAACAGTGGTATATTGATTTTTGGTATGTACAATATAATTCGATAAGAACGGACGCAGCGGGGCAGTATTGATGGACAAGACGTGTATGCGTGGAATAGGCGAGCAATGGTGTTTCAGAGTTAATTTACGTGTCTGTAATATAATTTATGTATATTATATTGGATAGCAGAGGAAATCTCGGACAACGACCATGATTATCATGTTAAAATGAACGGTTAAGTAACGAATTATACGCATTAACACATAGATACCCATACCCCGTCCCCGTGATATGTAACCTATATATAGATATAATCACTAACACACTGAGGTAAATATTGAGTACTATATAATAATATATCATTTAATATACCTATATAAGAGTATACAAATATAATAATAGTAATTATTGGTATTGAGATAAGCGTTTTAGTCATTACTTATGCTTTTTAGGTTCCTTCGTATAAAATCAAGTTAAATATATATTTCTGAATGTTTTTCAAGCACCTGTATTTTACCTTTCGACAATAACGAATTACTCAAAATTGTATCATTCGCATTATTGTTCAAAATTCCATACTATGCAGTTTTGTAATTACTTTCAAGTTGTGTGTATAGGTACACAATATTATTAAAAAAAAAAATGTTTTTATATCATGAAATGATTAATATTAATAAGATAAACCGTACATTTTTAAATAACAAGTAATCCAGAACCAAATGTAAAAATATCTCAGTGTTAAACAAAATCAATGTATTATACACATATATACAAATTAATTTACAAGTAAAATGCAATACTAATCGTTGACTGAAAGCTTTCTTTTACGTTGAATAATAATTAATAATGAATTATACAGTTCCCTAAAACAGCATAAATAATAACTGTTTATCTCAACAAAGACTTGATTATTATACAATGAATACAATTTATTTATTACGGTTTTTAAGATTTCTCTCATGAATGTTAATTTATTATCAAACATTTAATTAATTAACTTAGAATTTATAAGTTTATGCTTTAATAAACTATTTAAAACTAATTACCATTTAGAAGAAAAAAGAAATAATATGTTTTAAATGTTACTTAATAATTGTATTAGCATATTATTATTATAATTTTCAACTCCAATTATTATTGAAGCTGTAACTGTAAGTTTAAAAAGAATATTATAAAATAAGTTTCATAACTATTGTCTATTATACATGAAAACGATTAAAGGATACATTATCAATATTACTTTAAATTATTTACATTAATTGTGTTATATAAAAATCATAAAAATGATTGTAATACTATAAATATTTTAAATTAAAAAAAAACCGTGTTAAATGAAGGAATAAAGTGTACGTTTAAAAACAAATTAATTTAATCCTAACTAAATGTAAAATTAAGACAACCCTATATATTTATTATAGAGATAACACGTCCCTCTTTGTATTCTTTGATGTTACTACTTCTAGACCTTGAGGCTACATTGTTTTCTTTGTCTGGATTCACCCCTAACCCAAAGGCTTCATACTTCCTTCTTCCCTATATAATCCTGTACTGTTGTACACCTCTTTCATTATCTGTCCATATACCATGCCTGATAAATTCTACACAGGTTTAACTGAACCTCGCACTCTCTAACAGCCCTACCCTATTCCTTTATTATTGTTGTATAATCCTTTGTAATCTTCATAAACCTACAAAATCATCACAGTTTCTTTGACCATAACCAATGTACCTATAACGAAAATATATGTATATGTATATGACACTTATCTACACTTCATAGTACCTACACTAGTATAGTAGTTATATAGATAGTATCTAAATTCTACCAGTGTAATATTAATTTGTCGTTGATATTATATTTGATTGATCGATTTTTGATATTATTAAAACAATCGGATTCTAAATACAAAATTATTATACACTGATATTAAAAAAAACCACAGCACGCCACTCAATATTTATATTCTACATGGGAAATCTGTGAATCATAAATATGTTTTTGTTAATAAGTGACCATGAAGACTAAAACGTCGATTTTGCAAAATATATTAGAAAAATAAAATGTCTGTACCCAGCCCAAAAACATACTTATGTTAAAATAAAATATATGTATATTATATGTATACCTACTATACATAAAACATATTATATCTATGCACTATACTAGTATAATTATTATTACCTATAACAATTATTAATTTAAATTAAACGTTTAAATTGTAATTTTAATTATAAAACGTATTGATATACCGTGTGTCCGTGTGTCACCGTGTACACGAAAACAGGGTACACTGTATAATTAAATAACCCATATTAATCAGTATCTTATACATATTTTTGAATTTTCTTTTGCGGGACATGAAACTAGACTATTGGATCATCAAATTCCCGCAGACGGAATTATAATATATATATTATAGGGTACTGAGTGATGTAGGTTCACTAACCTGAGTATAACTGAGTTATTGAGTGTACCCAGTTTTCATGGATGATGTATATACACATAATGATGTATGGTGTTATATAATATTTAATAAATGTATATTTGTACTATCCTCAGGGTTATCAAACAAGACTTAAATTATTAAAATATAGCTATAAACTATTATTGACTAATCAAATTATTGTTGTGTGATTAATATGAAAAAAAATTAAGACATCATTAATTGTATGAAATATATTATAATAATTTCATAATATCTATGTGTATTGTGTATTGCACAACAGCGCATTGCAATACAAATGATACAATATATAACTTATATATGTAGAATATGTCAGGTATAGTTTCTTGGCACGCAAATCGTGCTAATTTGTTAGTAAGTTACTTTCATAATAATTATTTTTGTTTCTAAACCGTTACAACCTTTTTTTAAATGCAGAGAGGTATAAAATGTGTGTATATTATTAATATTATGAAGTTTGGTGTAGTATACTCGTATAATGATAAGTGCAGTATGATATTGTAACAAACTATATTTACGTGTTTTAGGTAGAAACCTATATTACCTATACCTACCACATTTATCAAATACGTTTAAGATGAATTCGTATACATAGAAATAATAGTTACTAGAAGTCTAGAACTTTATAAGTTTCTAATGTATATTTTATACATAATTATTGTTGTATCCATCGTAAATATATGTTTTTGCCAAGTCCGAATTTATTAAGAAAATATAAAAATAGAACTCTTATCTATAGAGCTGTTATCATTTAAAGAAAATCTTAACTAAATTTTTCTTCCCCGCAATAGGAACGCATACGGCGCATAAGACAATTTGTTTGAGATGTTTCTCATTGTGGGAGAAGAAGATGGTTTGAATACGGTAACCATATAGTACCTATATCTATATATTATATTATTGCATACAACAGCAATCCGATATTTTGTGTTAATGGTGTTCTATATTAAGATGTTGAGACATGACTACATTAGAGGGTAGTATAGAGAAATGTCAGCCAAAAAGCACGTTCAAACCTGACCTATAGGGCTTGGAGAAGGTAGGGATATAAATAAATTAAGACCTAAATAAACGTATATAATATTATGGTATATCACAGTAGAGTCAGCAGTTGTGCAAGTGCACCGTCTTGAAACTGCAATGTTTTTAGCATATTAAAACTATATACACGAGTATAATATTATACAGAGTGATTCACCAACCATACTCACCCCCATTTTACCTTTAATAATGAATTTATTTAAAAACTGATTTTTGGAATTTTAAAATTTACTCGAAAAACATATTTTCAAATTCTTGAGATTTTTTTGTACTACTTAAGGAGTGTCCTGTGATGGTATTACCAGGACACTCCCTATCCAAGACACTAATACACTTTTGTTTTTCAAATGGGAATCACCGTTTTACTATAAATTATTTAGTGGATAATGTTTTTGAAAATTTTGATGTACTTGCCTATTTAAAAATTCGACGAATAGTTTCTCAGTTATTAAAATGTTTATACTGATAAAATCCTTAAAAAATAGTTTAACAAAAACATAAAATAGCTGTAATATTGGATCTAGTATTTACTATTTATTATACTTGGGCCATTTTAATAAAAAATATTAATGTTGACAGATTTAATAATAACTACTAAAATCTTACAATCACCATAGCTCCCATCTCCCATCTCACAAACGGATCTATTATCCTTATAGTGGGTACAAAAAGTTAAATAACTCAAAACTACTCGTTCGAATTTTTTATTCTGATACGTAAAAGTTATCCGCTAAATAATTTCTAGGTGAATGCACGCTCGGTATGGATGACCCTGTATAGTGCGGCTATATTTACTTTATATTTTACGAGCGTAGAAATATTCACGCACAGGCACACAGCTATACCACCTACCTACCAACCTACCTATATTATTGTAATTTTATGTCGATATTATATCGTTGTATAATATTTTTTGAGATATTATAATTCCGACGGTTTCGGGGGTTTCCGACGGCCGAGATGACATACTCACCAGTGGCGTGCAGGCGTAATACGATATCTTGGATGCCGTGGGCGACGCGGGTTTCGAGTAGACGTGATAATTATTACTTCCGGCCGCCGTCGCCACGTAGCTGGTGGCGTACGGCGACACGTGGCTGCTGCCTTTGTTTCCGGCCACTCCGCCACAGTGGTTCGGGTGGTCGTCATCTGTCATCGACGCAGCTGTTTTCCGCTGCACGCTTCTGATCGTCGCGTAAGTACCGCTGGTGCTGGTCACCGAATTGACGCGCACCAAAACGTTGGGATTCGCCACGTAAGCGGCGCTAGTGTAACTGGTACTGAAACAGCAAAAAGCGGAAAAAGCAAAGGCTATTAATTTTTTTTTGTTTTCGTTATAAAAACAGAGAGAAACATACATTATAATATTATAATAAAAACCGTAACCACGGGGGGCACGTCTATACATCATACGATGAAGAAAATGGCACTGCCAAAAAAAGGGTGACACGCTGTTAAAGGCCGGCAGAAAAATTTCCGAGTACACAATAAACACGATAACAAATACATATGGAAAAGCATCTGAAAATCGCGTTATGATACACTTCGTGGATTCGATTTGTATATACGTGAAAGAAATACGAAACTAATAATATCATATTGTACCTACAGCATATTATTAATTATTACGGTAGGTACCTACCCTCTAAGCAGACTCGTCGTAGTTAGGCTAAGGCATTTGTCATATTGTTTGGAGTTCTTATACAGACAGTGAAAAATGGTGTAGCGTGATTATGAGCATTTGAAAGCAATACACTATAGATATAAATCATCGATTTTGACAAATTGAACGGAGCTCTAAAATGGTCCGTCGACAATATCGATAGAAAAAATATATCGTTATTTCACTCAAAATCTCAATTCTAAATTATCCACGCCATTAAATTTGAATTGCCCATAAAACTTATCTACACATCGAATGATCAGAATGTACCAGTATTGTAAATATTAAACGCTTTTCGTATATAGGTACTGCCTTATACTATAATGGGTATTTCAAATATTTTTAATAACAATTTTTTTTTTATTATTTTTCAAAATCTTTAACTCTTTTAAAACCGCAAATAAATATGTAACACAACTTAAATCATCGAAAATTCGGTGGTATCTAGAAATTTTTATATTAAAATTTTACGGCAAAAGAATATCTATAAGACTATAAAATTCGTGTCTTAATCAACTATTACGGTAGTTGATTTTTGATTATGTGGTTAAATTGTGGTATACAACACCTATATTTAGATTACCTATTTGAAGATAGCCTATCGCGTATTTGGGCTCGCATTCGGCCATTAGTTACCTCGCTTTACCTAACAGTTACGGTTAAGCAAATACTGAAAGTACCATAACTTTATAATTTAGAAGCTTATCGCCTTGATGACATACCAATTCATAAAGAAAAATAAGAGAAATTATTGTGTGATTTTGTAGTTAACATTTTTATTTTTTCTGCAGATGAAATATTGCTTTTTTATTAGCTATACCCTATCCATCGTGATTCGTACCAATATTATAAGCTCTTGGCTTTATCCAGAAACATGAATTGTTTGGCAAACATAAATAAATAATGTTTGTCAAAAAAATACAAAGCATATAAATTAATTTTAAGCGCCAAAATATTGTTTGTTTTAATTTTATTTATATAGTTGGACTCACTTGAGCGGGAGTAAAAAATAGTTGTAGTTTTAAAATCAACAAAGTCGAAATTTTTTTTCACAACGATTATCATCCTTTGAACGTTAAACTACATAAAAATGTGTATTGTGCTGTTAAAATTAATTATATACTGAAAATGCTCATCGTAATAAAGAGTTGTATTACAAATTAAAAAGCTTGAATGGTTGGCAAACATTACGAGGATATTCATAATTCAGGCCTACATTATTATTATATTAATCATATTAAGTAGCGTAAAATGTGTTATTCTAAACTTTTTTTTTATTGGCTTAACGCGTGTTCAATTAGTGTTAGTTACGAGCTGAGTGTATTACATCATGAGTTATGAAATTATAGTAAATATGATAATCAGAATGTTTTTGCGGTGGAATTCATATTATTAAACCGCTTGGATTTGATGAAATGCTAACGATCATATAACCAACAAAATCAACCTAATTTAATAGAAAGCTTTAAAATGTTTAAAATTAGTCTTTATCACGGAAAGGCGTACAATAGCTGCATAATGCATTTAGGTAGGTATGGGCAGGTACGTACTTTCGATATGTTCATTATATTTTTATAAGTAAATTTCGGAGACCATGGTTTTTTATATGTTGTCACAACAATTTTGCTATATGGTACAACAAATATCCTTTAATCTGCTGGAACAAATATAATCATTTTTGATACAACCATGTGCTCATATATACAGGAGACCACTTGGGAATTTCACGTTATGTGTCACGTTTTACACTCCCCTTTCAAAACAATATTTATTGGAGGCAGGTAAATGCCATGACAAATATCAATCAATCACAAAAACATAACGAATAACGACAATAACAACAACGACAAATTGTGTTACTGAGGATTAACAGATTAGCTTTAAATACATTTTATATCATGTTTTTATTTAGTTTCAAAATGTCATTCTCTTTTTTACATTTATCTAATAATAAAAAAATATTTTATTTATTGAGTACATTTTATAATAATTTATTTATCACAAAAATAAATGTTCGTCCGCTGAAAGACTTATTAAAATAATTTTTTTTCCCAAACTGAAAAACGAAATACATAATACATACTTACATAATAACTTATAACCAAATTCGATTAATTATATAATTCGTACGCTTTACTATATCACCGCGATTTTCAAACAAGTTAAATTTTCCTCTAATAACATCAAACATGTAAATTATAACTCGAAAAACAATTTTATGAGAATACAAAATTACATGTTCGCAAAAACTTCAGGCCTTTAAAATTTTCCCTTAACATGTCTTTATCGTTAAACTTATTGCCTTTAGGCTATATAGCAGTGTACTATAGAAGGTTTAATAGAGCTCCAGATTTGTTTATTTTCAGAGGATGTTTAATATCAAAAACCTGGTAGGTATTAATTAATAAACGAATAAACACTCAATATCTAAATAACACACTTGTTAGTCTTATAATATACATACAAATTAAATCAAAACAATAAATTGTTATATATACGAATTATATGCTATTATATTTTGTAGGTAGGCAATAGGTACAATGTAAATACATGGTACGCGCGCGCATCATTATTTTCTACAATAGTTAATAATATTATTTACCATGGTTAGGAGGTATCACAATTCTAAAAAAACTTTCTTGTAAAGTATAACTCTAATGCTACACCAATCGATTTAAAATATTTATATTTTATTTGCAATATTATTATGTTTGAAGGGAACATCATTCATTTTTATTGTTTTATTATCATAAATTCCAAACTATATAATATTTCCCCTCGTGTATAGTTTTTTACGCTGCGAAGAATTTTGCACTTGTAATTGTTACGATATTATAGTCGTACTCAAACTTTACATTAGTATTATTGTTTTTATGTTTGAAGATACTCACTCGGCAGCAGTGACCATTTGCAGTGATTTAATGCAGATATTGATTTACAATGTATAGATTACATAATACAACGACAACAAATACGCACATCATATGTTATATAAAAGATTTAATTATCAGTTAATTGATACCCATGAGCTAGTTATAATATTACAGTTTATAATGTTAATTAGCATAGACGACGCAATATATGGTGGCGGAGATAGAATCAGTCGGGTCCAGATAGAGTGATTTGGCCAATTATTCCATGAGCTCTGATTATTATCTCTATTGTTATTATTATTATTCTCTACTATTATTATTATTATTATTTTCTACTATTATTATTATTATCTCTGGTCTGAGTGTCGGCAGTCGATATTGACTTTACGAACCCCACACTACGATGTGCACATTGAAGCATTAGTGCATTACCATTGGCTATTACGAAACAAATATGTTTCATGATTGTGTCACCAATTCTAATAGTCTTAAGTTATAATTCTTATATAATATATATATAATATATATATATATTTATTTATTTATTACATAGCACGCCGAAGCCCAAAAATTTGACAAAAATTAATTTGAACATATACACGTTTATACGATGGGGTTACATTAAGTTAGAATGTTTGTTATTATTATTATAGTTTATAACGATTTTAATTTTGCAAATAATAGTGTAAATTCTGAAACATACCTGCATTAAAAAAAAATTACTAAATCGATTGATATAGTTATGGTAGTGGCTCGCGGAGTACCTATATTTATGAACTATTTTATCATAAGAAGCATTGTAAGAGTGAATCTAAAATCCCTAAAATCTAAATTAGAGTAATACAGTCTCAAATTGTATGCAATAAAAATTACAAAACTATAGGTATTTAAACGCACACAAAAACAAACAAACGGTAAAAAATCAACTGAAAAACACGATATGAAGTAGTTTAAAAAATAGATGAAAAACACCAAGTGAATGATCTAACGAGTTTTGATGACAATACAAATCATGAAAAATTATAAATAATAGATAACACTTTTACTCTATCCAAATTAAAAACATAAATTGTAAATTCAGTTTTTTTTTAAAAATATAGTTCACATTATGAAAACTTAAAACCTATATAGTTACAGGTAAGTTACATTTAAGACAGATGTCGATCTCATGATTTGAGATGAAAAAAAAGTCCGAAAACATAGAACTAATGAACCTATTGTTACGAATAAATATAGATATATTTAAGAAAAGGATTAACGTTGATCGTTTTAAATAGTAGTTATATAATGTTAAGTTCAATCCAATTATTGAGTATACATCTTCAGATGGCACTGTAAATAATATCCATTGTCAACTATTGTAAAAAGAAGTATAAAAGTTTCTTATACAGTTATACATGTAAGTTTGACAAAACTAATAAAATGAAATAGTGCCTGACTCAAAGCAATTAGATAATTATTTTATATTGCGTATTTGGCCTGAAATAGAGAATAAGAGTGCAATAATGCTATATAGGGGGCTGCCAAAAGAACTTTGTTTCCAGACGTATAGTCATAATGAAATAAAAAGTTTGAAAAAAAACACATACCTACGTATTATAGTACGTAGTATTTCTCTAAATCCAACATTGATTTTAAATCTCTAATAAAAATACGCACAACGTTTATATTTTATAACCAAGAACAGCCAAGTGTGATGCTATACATTGTTATTTCATGAGTATTTTGAAAGAAAAAAAGCATATTAATGGATCTTTACGAGTATTAGAATTCGTAAAATAAAGTTAGAATAATAAGTTATTACCAAGCTATACTATGCTACAATTTACAAAATGTAATGGCCATTAATGATTATAGTTTATATTCAATGTAATAAACCAAAAATGGTAGTATTATACAAGTACAAAGCATTACAGTTATTATAAATTTGCAATCGATTTAATACTAGCACACACAAAATCGCAAGAAGTAATAATAGGACGAAAATTAAGATACCTAATGAAAATAACGATTTGGTCAGTGTTGGTTTTTATTTTTATTCCAACGCGTCTTTGTATTGAGACAATAAAAAACCAACTTTCAAAGTTTCTTTGCTCGGAAACAATTTTTTGTGATGGCTTCAAAAAAGAAGTTTGTCGTAAACTTTCCACCACAATACTATATATATATTATATATATCATAACATGTGGTGGACCCGGAAGTCACAGCGTCGTTTAAAAGTTACCAGCACAATCACGTATATTCTACGACGTTATGGTTCACATATTGTATTATATTAATCAAAGTTAGTAAAAAAAATTAGATTTCTTAAACTGTTGAATCATATTTGGATTTATAGTACATATTAATTGGATGTACGGATTATTCGAGTTTTTATACCTATTATATTATAATTTTGAATATTTTTTCTTTTTAATCTTACGTATAAAATGATATTGCTTAGTTGGTAGACAAGTGTAAGCGTCAAAAACACAGCAATTGAAGCAATATTGTTTAATTCATAGTTGGAATATAGGTATTATGTATTATCAATAGTTATCTGAATATTCCTATGTATTAACGCGTAGGTATAAATTATTATTATTACTGTATTATTACAATATAACGTAGGTATACTCACTGCAACGATTCTTTGGACTTGGACCTGAGCAGCGTTTTGTTGGTGCGCTTGTAAGCCAGGGCGAATGTGACTGCCACCAGTGTGACTATGAGCGCAGACCCGCACCCGAGCGCAAAGAAGAACGCACCGTGCGCGGGCACCAACTCTTCGGGTGCTTCGTCGCCACGTTTGGGTGAAGTTAATGCGGTATTTCCACCACCAGTGGTGACAACAGCAGTGGCGACCTGCACTGCAGAGGAACCCGAACCACTGTGAGACGGTTGCAGCACCAAAGTCTTATCGTTCTTGTGATCGTCGTCTGGTTGCGATCGTGGCGGCTGCGGTGGCGGAGGTGGTTGGGCTGCAGGCTGCTGTGGAAGCTGTTGCTGTTGGCCCGGGGGTAATCCGTCGATCAGGTTGGTATCCAGCGAACCGTCCTTGCCTATGGACACACCCGAGGTTTTTTTTATAAATTTTAATGACAACAAAGCATTACAGGTCAGTTCGATTTATGGCCGCATTGGACGGGCTTAACACCTATCCTACTATAACGAAAACCAAATTCTAACAAACAGATTTTTTTTGAGGGGGAGAGTAGTAATATTGTAGTCATTCCACCCTATAATTTGAGTCATCCTAGATAATTTGCCGACTAACGGTCTGGCATGAACTGTCTTAATCCACGCTTCTGCAGTAAGTACTAAATTTTACTTGGTAGCGACAAAACACGATGGTTACAGTTGTGATATCCTTTAAACTACATCTTCATTTAACGGTTATGAATGTTATGATTATGATATTTTATTGTACCAAGCAGCTATAGAGTCTATATAACTATATTATTAGCCATTAAGTTGACCCGGACACGTCTTGTATAACCACAGTACTGTCAGTACTGCGACCGCAGTGACGAGCCCATTTCCTGTGTAGACTGCAACCGTTCTAACTGATAGTTTATAGTCGGTGGTATACTGGTGTATATATATATATATATAATATATATGTATGTGTGTGTGTGTTAGTATAAAATATTGTTTGACGTTTCCATTTATTTATTAACAACCCGAAAATTGCAACTATAACAACAAAATGTTTTGTGGACATAAAACTGATAAAACTTCTTTTGGGTTTGATAAAATGTTCGTTTCTTTAACGTTTTGTTCGGTTCAAATCAAATTAACGCCACCACTTGTGTTGAACGCGAATAACTATACGCTGCTACATCTGTATATAAATATTTGTTTTCATAACGGTTTTCACTTCTTACCACGGACGGAAAAAATAAAGTCATAATGAACACGAAACAGTCTAGCAATAACCACACTATCTCCTAATCATTTAAAGTATAGATAATTTGCTCGTCCGTTAAAACTACAAGAACTATAAAATAGGTTAGAACGACAATACGAGTATAATAGGATTTTATTTCTAAAAGGACTTATAATGCAAATGAAACAAACAATATATATAGCTTTACTCATTGGTATGTACCAGCTAACTATATGGCGAAATAAATACTTATCATAGTTATTGTTGCATGGGAGTAGATTTTTAGTTTTACCAATAAATTAAAATTGGTACTTGTATTCAATATATGACAACGTCAAAAACCTTGAAATATTAAAATTAATAATGTATAATTGATTTCAGAATTGTTTGTTTGTCATTTAAAAAATGTATTGTACAAACATTTTTGTTTAACTGGTTAACTGGTTAAATTAATTATGTAAGCATTGATTATATTGTAGTTCACTCATGTGGAAAATCAATTATTTAGTTTAATATGAATAATCAAAAATTAATTTTGCGGCTTAACTAAACACTATAATATTATGTAGGTATCTAATATTAATTATAGACGTATAGAGTAGAAAATAAATTAGTGACTTTAATGAGATTATGATGCATTTATATAATGCTTGTTTTCACAATCACAAACGAAAATTAAACAAACTTTACCAAAATTATTATTGAGGCTACACACAACTTACGATTAATACATATTTATTATAATTCTATTATTCATTATTCTATTATTAATTATTAGGGAAAATACATTAAACAACAAAATTACTTTACGTCACTGAATAAGTATAAAATATTATTAATGGAGAAAAAAAATAAAATCAAAGAAGGATGTATCATTCACGTGTGGATCCTGTACAGTATATCGCGTACTATGCCGGCAGCAGTGAAAAATATCAACGAAACTGTATCTCCAATTGAATTCTTTAAAGATCAAATTTTTAAAGAAATAACAAAGATAAAAAAATATATTAATATGAAGAATTTAGATTTGTTGATCATGACCCTGATGGAAATAACGTGATTTTTTCCGTCGTCTCTTTGCTGCATACAAAAACTAAGGTAGAATAACCTCATAATTAACTCCAAATTATACCAGTTGTACGTTTACTTCAGAACGTATTGTGCCCACTAACCAATATATTTATTGAGCGGGAAAAATCATCCATGCTCATCTTCCACAAAATCTATAGACCAATAGACCTCCCTGAAAAATGTGTTCTCTGTTAAGTAGCTCACAAAGCAAACTGCAAAGGATACACCACGTATAAATACATCAACAATAATAGCCTTTACTGTTTTATAGCCAACCATAATGAATCACTCTCAAACAACTCTTCAGTTTTAATTTATTATATTTACACTCCTCTACACAAACCAACCAAACCTAACCTAATCCAGGGAAGAATGATCAAATTAACTAATATTGATATAAACTCTATAAAAGTCTAGACGATCAAGTTAATTTTAAGGTCAGTTTAAAACCCATTGAGGACATAGACACATCAGTGAATTCTCTCACATGTACACAACGCTCATACCAGAAGCAGCTCGAGAAGCAAAATCTCGTACCATTTGGCAAAGAACTTATTAGCCCCCAAAACAAATTATCTTAAAACATTACTTACCTTGATTAGATCTAACAACTGTGATGGAAAAAACGTTTGACAGAAGTTGGCATTTCAGCCATCTATTCAAACATAGATCTATTCTTACACCTTACTATTTCCTTACTAGTTATACTTACTTGTTATATAGAAGAAAGATACTTCACCGTTCAACTGAAATCTTTTAGTCACCTAATTATAATCTATCCCATCTACTATGTCACATTGCCACTATTGCAGACTATCGTATCATGACTTATAAGTTGAATAAATATTCAAATTCCCACTGCCGGAAGTTTCATCAAGTGGCCTCTTCGACAAGTCACCCAATTACGTCCTTCCCTTACATATATTGTAAATATAATACATGTTGTATAATAAGCAATTAATTTTAAAAAATAAAGATATTATTGAAGTTACAATGACAATGTTTTAATTAAATTGTATTGAATTATTTATATTGTTAACATAATTGTTGCATAATTATTTATATATCATGGTTCATATTGTTTAACAATAACTCAACTGTATCATGTTAAAATCAGATAATATTTAACATGAATGCACCACCTCCGTTATTTAAAATGACTTGAATCAATAATTATAATCAGATCATCACCATGATAATAATAGTCATAATATAAACTATACTACATTGTCATACAACAAATTACAAAATCACGACTGCATGTGAAATATGTAGTAGGCCATCATCATAGTAATAATAATAATTATATCATTGTTATTAGATTTTACATCACTGCGACATTTTGGCGGTGTTTAATAATAATGTATAAGCCATAAGGTAATTATTATAATAGATAACACAAGCTATCATTATTTCAGTTGAATGTTGTGTTTATTTCAAAAAGCTTGTTAACACAGTTTGAAGGTCAAACAAAACTACAATTTTGGAAACAAGATCTAATTTATTTTTATAATTTCATAAAACTATTTTTCATTTTTAATATTTTAAACGACAACCTTTACTTTTATGCAAAATTCGAGCTTTAAAAGTATTCGATATAATTTAATTTTCAGTTCACACTTATCATAATAAAAAGTCAGATATTTTTTTCAAAAATGTGCATGTGTTATACAATATTTAAATTGTCCTACTTCAAACTATGTAAGAACATTATTTTAGAGAGTACCTACAAAAAATTACCAAAATAATGAATATTTATTGATAAAAAAACGACTTTGTATAATATTATATTTTAACATTATATAGTAATATACTTAGTATGTTATTCCATACAAGTATTCATAATACCATGTTACGATACGTGGTATAAATTTTGTATCGATTGCTACGCTCCATCGAACCTATGGTATAACTATACACACCGCGCCGACAAACCGTAAACAATGAAAATTAAAACGTCTGTCTGGCGCACAAAACAGTTTTATGCGTTTTCAAAACGAAGAGACATAATACACCGTATATTCGAACTTTATTTTGCGTAGTAGTTTTAATTAATTAAATCGTAGTCGGCGTGCACTGCCCCCCGGCACTCTACGTCAGATTAATTATTATCGAACAGTCTAATCTGCACCTCCATGCTCGTATTATTATTATTATTTTGTACGTATATATATTATATACACACCTATATTATGTGTATCCGAGTTCCGTTCCACCCCTCATCACCAACAAATGACGCCACTACCGTGCATATAACCTTTGACGGTGGCGGTTCGATCGACCTAACGTAACCGCCGGCAGGAACTCCACTTCAAAGGCAATGCGTAGTTCAAATACACCACAATGCGAGTAATTTGAAATGCAAAACGGGCCGAAAGTGTAACGGTGCCCCGGGATGGTTCGAGGCGTTAGACAATGTTGTAAAGGGGGCGGGAAGAACTGCATAAACGAGTTTGTACATCGGCACTGGACGAACAAATCCACTCGAGTCTCAAATGCCTGCGATGCAACGCAGTATAATCATCAGTTATGAACGGCTACACCAACAATAATCATGATAATAATAATTATACAAGCTTGGAGGGTCGACTCATAAACCGGGTTGAGAGAACTTCGAGTGTTTAGATTCGGTTGTCCGTGAGGATGTACCTATATAACAGGCATTGCAGTTTGATTTGTAAAAGTCGAAGGTGGGCAGGTTGGTCAGAGGGAAAGTGGAACTGATAATATAAAGGGAATATCAGGGAACACGGAATGGTTTGGATATGATGAGTTTGAGCACAAGTATAAAAATAATATTATTATAATATGGTTGTGCATCACTTCACTAACAATCACAATTCAAGATACTACCTATCTTAAATCGGGCTAATAATGTTATTGTTACTGCGTGAGATAAAGGCGAACAACGATAACACGATTAACATAATGTTGTCATTACCGATGAGCGCGTCCAATAGCATATCGGTGGTCTTCAGACATATCTTGTTTCGGTGGAACACCAGAGACACGTCGCCGTGTTTGCGATTAACCGCGGTTATGTTGATAGTGAGTAAAACGTGCACCTCGGAGCTCACTACGCCCGTGCACGGCATCTTGAGCCGGAACACCTGGACGTGTGACGGTACCCAGCCTGATTCCGGGATGTCCAGTTCCGGTTTCTTCATCGCTATGCCGTTGTTGGACTCCACATTCCACGTGTACGGTAACTGCAAAACGAAAATAAAATAATAGTTATAGGTATCTTATTATATTATATATAAATCTCGTAATATATAAAAATCTCGTGTCACATCTTTGTCCGAAATAAACTCCGAAACTACTGGACCGATCTTGATGAAATTTTTACAATGTGTGTAATTTGGCTGAACTCAAAAGATAGGATAATCTAAAAAAGGGAGAGGACCATCCCCGGGAGATGCTCATGCTCAAACGGGAATTTTAAGATTTCAGATGGACATTTTTGTTTATAAATTGTTGCAATGAGTGACGTCGTATAAAATGATTCGTTCTAGAAATTGCAATCCAGAATTATAGTGAATCGTCGTTTTAATTCGTTGCCACGAGAACAAACAAACCATTTATTATATACATCGACGATTTTTTATTGTACATATACAATATATTCAATCAGTATTATTATTATGCGTCTATAAGCAATGATGGGTTTTTAAGCGATAAAATAATAATAATAATAATAATAAAAAAAAAAACTATTTGCTTTACTTTGCTTTAAATTATAAGTAATATAATATCTAACTATAAAAATGTAAAATGAAAATCTCTATACAGGCTAAGCTCTGGAACTACTTATCAGATCTTCTCGATTTTTGTTTTTAAATAAAAGAGTATTTTACGGAGAAGGTTTATATGAAAGAACATTTTAGGAAAATCCACCAGTGTATAATATATTGGTTGGTATTGGTTAATCATGTTTGTTTATTTGTATCTTTTTTCAATATATATATATATATATATATATATATATATATATATATATATATATATAATATATACAAGAAGATCTGATAAGTAGTTCCAGAGTTTATTCTGTATAGTTATAGTCTATGTATTTATATAGTTAGATATATAAATTAATGTTTGTGGGTAGATGAGAAATCTGGAAAGAAGATAGGTTAATTTACAAAGGGTTAAATTTCTTTTTTTTTTAATTCATCGGATTTTAGTACGGTTAGGTTAGGATGGGATTTTGTATAGATTGATTATATTAATCTACCGTAGGCGGAATTAAGTAAAAACGACAACCTTGGTATAACTTTGATACTTTAGAGTTAAATCAAACACTTACGTACAAACAGCACTGGGTCCGCGATCTACCGCAGGTAGATTGCGTACCTGATAATGTACTGCTGCGAATCAGAATTTTTATTCCGGGCAAAGGAAAAGTTAAGATAAATTTTGAACACCATACACCGAATATTAAATAACTAATTGAACCAAGTTTGAGTCATATAGAGTTGATACATTTAACGGGCAACTAAGTGCACGGGATCAGCTAGTTGTTTAATAATATTATTATGTCACACGATATGTATTATGTATATATAGGTAATGAATAAATAAATTGCAAAAACGGCTTAACGGAACACTGTTTTTTGTTTTTGGAAATTGGAAAAGAATTTCGACAAACCAAAAACTATCTAATTAATTACTGGTTAAAAATTAATTTGATATAATATATAGCATATTATGCCGTATGGCAGTCACTCTAAATCTAAAAAGTAAAAAGTTTAAAACATTTTTTTAAATATTTTACCTATTATATAAGTATTTATTTTTATGACTTCAAATTATGTAAATACAAAAATATTCATACTTTTCGGGATAATACGTAAGTGTTTAATTTAAAAAAAATTATTCCTACTACATTTAATCAATACAGCTTTGTAAAATATTGCTTACGTAAGCAGCACACTGAAATATAATTTACAAAATGTACAATGTACATTGTACATATAGGTAAGTACATCAGTATCATTTTTCAAGGGCTGTGCAAATTAATGTAATTTATTATTCTATACAAATTTAGTGTCTACACTTCTTTGTTATAAACGTCTGAATAAACGTACTTAAAATTTAAGAGTATCCTTATTTCTTATTGGAATGAAAAATATCTAAAATCACCATTATAATAATATCATAAAGTAATATAACAAACCAAAGAAACCTAAAGCTTTTGAAATAGAATATTTGTGATCTTTGTTGTATAAACTCATTGTTTCTCTCTTTATATCAGAATAAGTGTTCTAAAGATTCCACTCAAATGAATTCCAATTATTACGTATCAATAAACCTTCCTTTCATTATTAATATATAATGTGTATATATTGACTGTCGTTCATCAAGGTTTTTTATCATACTTAATACCAAATGTTAAAAATTAATTAAATACATAATGCATATCATATGTATTATATACTATAAAGTCGAAAACAGTATTTTTAAGTCGTTGAATTTAAACAATAAATAAAACTCGATATGAAAAAGTATTCCACAGTTGATCAAATCCGTAGCATACGTTTTATTTGTCGATACATTTTTTTAAATTTAATATCATTCACATTGAAATAAATGCAATAAAATTAATTAAAATTTATATTAACAAAGAACCGTTTATGCGAAACATTTAATTTGCTCAGAGTAAAAAAACTATATACAACTTTTCGCAGACCGCAGTACATATCAGCGGTGGAAAGGTGGAAAGTTTTAAAAATCAAGTATAAAAAACAAGCGCAGGAAGTGAAAACTTTAAGAGGACGCTACACATGTATAAATTCGTCCGTAAAAACCGTTTTGCGCGGGAAAGAGCCGAGAAGGCTACAGCCATAACTAAGAAACGAAATTTTCATCAAATAATAAGTAGACCATGGACTGTGCAACCTCGTTTTTAATTTTTCGATATCGCTTCTTAAAAAAAAGTTCTTATTGTTTTAAAAAACATTATTTTTGTGTTTTTCAGACTTGAATAACTTTTTTTTAGAAATGATATCGAAAAAATAAAAACGAGGTTGCACGGTCAAAGTTCTCTTGTTTGTAGTGTGAAAATTTCGTTACTTAGTTATGACTGTAGCTTTTGTGGTTCTTTCCCGCGCGAAACAATTTTTGCGTAAAGATTTCAATTTCATTGAATATTGTTAACTGTAGTGTGCTGCTGCCCTACGGTCGTTGCGACTTGCGACATCGAATACGATTTCCCCCACCATGATAGACTGCAATTAGCGCGCTATGGTTATCGGTAATCAGCGCGCCCGTAAAAGTTTCCAGGAATAGCTTCGATATGAAATAATTTAATTTTGGTGACTGGCTACTGCCAATATTATAATTATATAATCGAAGCTCGTCGTTGACCACCAAGGTCGTCTCGTCATATATTTTATATGCGTATATTATACATTATAAACATTCCGAAAGGTAATTCAACGGCGATAATAATGGGGACTGCAGCGATTTCGTTCGTTTACAAGACCCTCGAAAAACCATTATCGTCCCGTTCATACGAGGGACGATAATATAATGATATAGACCCTTTTTTCCGGGGAACCAGAGCAACAGCAAAAGCAGCAGCCCCACCACCACCACCTCGGGACAGCGTCTGGGGATACGAAAAATGAAAACGAAAGTAATCCGACGTGTATAATATTGGCTGAGGGGCGTTGGTGGAGGTAGCGGTGGTGTAAGTTTGACACGGGACTTAGGCTCGTGTCCAATTATCATTGTTGTGTATTATATCATATCATTATATTATATGTGTATTATAGTCGGTGCAGTGTTCCGGGCCGTTGCGAACGACTACCTTTACGTGTTTCGTGGGGACGAATTATTCCCGGTAACCCGGGTACTGTGTAGGGCGGGCCGGGGAAGAGAATAGGGATCGCTTAAATCCCACGTCAGTCACCCATACCTGTGTGTATTATATTATTATATTTATATTATATAAAGTGATCGCACCTATTGCTACATATTATTATTATTACATTACAATATAATATTGTGTCATGATGTGAACCGGCGGCGCGTCTATATAATATAATTCCGTCGTATGCGTTATAGGAGCGGGGAGGATGAACTATTATATTGTTATTATAATATCGTTATTCGTCGTCATCGTCGTCGTCGTCAACTATATACAATATAAATAATATTCTATATAACATGCGTATGTGCGGGGCGCGCGACGGTTCATCGGTGCGACTGCTGCGGTGCAGACAACTTACCGTATATATATATATATAGGTACAACAACAGGAGAGACGTGTACGTATGTGCACGCGCATAATGCACCTTCGCGTGGCGCAACAATAGTATATTTTAGGGTTAAACATTGTTCACGCACACACATATACACAAGCTCACAAGTAATATATAATACCTACGAATATATATATAAATATTTGTAAATGTTTTTTTCCACACCGTCCGTCTGTTCGTGTGTGTGTGTGTGTACGAGAGACCTTTTCCCTCCTCGTCCTGCAGAGCCTATATAAAGCGATTACAAAAGCTCCTTTTCGAGAGAGGGGGTGTGGAGAGGGCAACAGGCCCGTGCGGCTATAAGTTTGCCGAGATTTCCGACCCTGTTTCTGACACATGTGTCACACGCGGCGCGCCAAATCCCCCACTCCCAGCACAACATCTCTGCCACCACCACGCCAACTCTGTACTATACATGTATAATGTATATATATATATATACGAACGGTAAAATGCGCGCGAATAGACCATTGAATCCCATTTTCTCGACCCTCCGCACCGACCCGACGCAACTATACCATTCGTGCACACAGAGCCCGCGAGACAGACTCGGATATATACACACACACACACACACACAGAAAGAGTGAGAGAGAGAGAGATGACGACCTTTGTATGTAAATAAACCCCAGAGTCGCTTGTGGCTGTCACGAAACGTAACCGAATGTTTGTGTCTCTCCGGCGGCGCCCCCCGCACTCGCCCAAAGTCGTTATACGTGTATTTGTTTTTTAACCAATTTTTTTTAGTTCTTGCTCCTTTTTTTTCCATTTTCTGTGTTTGCGGCGTTAAAAATACTTATCCCTTTTCCGTTCGACTCACGCCCTACACTAAATATAATATAAATATATATATATATCATATATGTGTGTGTGTGTCCACTATAGTATAATATACAGCGTTCACGATATTTTTATCGTCAGACTTCAACGTCCTTCCGGC